CACACCCCTGGTGAGCTCACCCAGTCTTTCAGCTTCCCGGGACAGGTCGTGTCTGTCCCAGCGAGGCAGTGCTGATTTGCTATCTCCAGCCTGAGTCACGGCCTTGAACTCCAGCCTTTCTTATCTGGGGGGACCTGCCAATGTGTCAGCTCACAGGGGGTCTCAGGCCTGGCCTACAACTGCTCACTTCATCCACCAACTTTCCCTCTCCGTCCCCCACATCGACTGCTGTAACACCCAGGCCTGGAGTGCCAGCTGTCTGTGACTTCCTTGCAACTTGCACTCCCACTGGCTGCCTCGGGTGAAGCCTGCAGGGGTCCTTTGTCCCAGCGGTTTCTGGAACTTGGCCACTCCTCACCACTGTCATCATCACCGCCACCGGGGCCTGAGTCACCTGAGGCCATGTCGCTGTGGCCTCCTCCTAGCTGGGCTCTATACTGCACTCTTGGCCTCCTACCAGTGGAGTGGTGATCTTCTGACTCAGTGCCAGGGGGCACCCTGTGGCGGCCTGCCAGCCTGGTGAGCTACACTCCACTCTATGGCCTTGCCTCCTCCTGTACCCTTCTGCTCACTGCTCCCACAAGGCTGGCCTCCTACCCACCCCAGCTCTGTTCAGCGCCAGGCTGGAGCCCACCCTAGGGCGTCTGCTGTCTCGTCCCCTGCCAGCCCTCCCCTGAGACTGCTGTCTCACTTGCCCACCTTAGATGCAGTTTTGCCCAGATACCATCTTCCTGTGGAGTCCTCCCTGGCCTTGCAATTCACCATGGCCTATCCCCGCTAGCATCTTACCTCTCAACCTTGTCCCTCCACTACTCCCCGCCCAGAACAGAAGCTGCGTGAAGACAGGGACTTGGCACTGCTTTCCCTCTCAGCCATGTCCCTGGGGCCTCAGACAGTGCCCAGCACATAGTGCATACTTAATACATGTTTATTGACTGAATGAGCAAGCAGATGTTATCCTATTGGTTTCCTTCACTGATTGTTTGGATGGTGTGGTAACAGCAGCAGAACAGGGCAGAACACACCCCAGGCACGTCTGATAACAGCCCTGCAGCCCTACTTTACGAATGTACAGTCTTTCATAAACTTTGCTTTACGAATTCAGACTCACTGCAATGTCTCATAGCCTTAAGGACCAGATTCCACTTCAGAGATGATAAAGCTGAGGTTCAGACAGGGTGATTAATTTGCTAACAGTCACCCAGATAAGAGATGGTCATGGGGCCGATGTTTGGCACAGCGGCTCAGGTACCACGTGAGACACCTGTCTCCATATCAGGTTGCCTGGGCCCAAGCCCTGCGTCCACTCCTGGTAAGTGTGCACTCTCTGAGGGCACTCAGGTGCTTGAGTCTCTGCCACCCTTGTGGGAGATTTGGTCTGAGCTGCTGGCTCCTGGCTTCAGCCTGGCCCACTCACGGCTGAGCCAGGGGAGTAGTGTTGTGCCGGTTTTTGAAATCCCCAGATAATCATCAAGTCTGAAGTCGGTGCTAAGGCAAAAAGGTTGCTTATTCAGGTTAGCCTAGGTAACCCAGCCACCTCCCCCAGCCCAGCATGGGTGGGCGGGGGAGGGGCAGCCGCAGCCGAGGCTGCTAGGATCCACAGGGAGGACAAAAAAGCGTGAGCCAGAAGAGGCAGAGGGAGCCCAAGCCCCCCAATTCTTATACATTTCGGGCTATTAATTATACAGTCATGATTTAGCAGGCTTCTATTGGTGGGTTTGAAACAAGCAACTTTCAAAAAGTACAAATCGATGAGCTATTGGGCTGTGAATCTTATCAAATACCAGGTACCACCTTCTTGAGGAGTGGTCTGCCTACGTGACCTGCCAGGTGTCCTGCCGGGTGTCACGTAGACTATCAGGCCTGAGGTTCACACAGCCCCCAGCCAAGCCATTAAGGCAGAATCACAAAAGGCAGAAAACGCTTAGGTTCTTCAGTAGAATAGCTCTATGTGTCTCTCTCCCTGCACCTGTTCATTTTAGTGTTAACTGAAAAGGGCTCTTTGCGAGAGACATCTTGCCTTCAACTAGAATCCGATGGCACTGTGTGTCAGGGGTCACAGAAAGCCCACAGCACCCTCAGGGCGTATAACCCTAGTGGTGGCAACCAGGGTAAAAAGTGTGGGGGCCCCGCATGGCAGCCTAGTGGCTAAAGTCCACATGGGCACTGGTTTATGTTCCGGCTGCTACACTTCCCAACCAACTCCCTTCCTTACGGCCCAAAGTCCTGGGACCCTGCACATGTGTGGGAGACTCAAGACAGGCTCCTGACTCCTGGCTTGAGATTGGCTCAGCTCTGGCTGTTGCAGCCACTTGGGGAGTGAACCAGCAGATGGAAGATAGCTTGCCTCTCCTTCTCTCTGTAAATCTGCCTGTCCAACAAAAATAAATAAATAAATCCTAAAAAAAAAAAAGGTCAACTGTGGTTCTCACCATCACTGGAGGTGTGGACAGCTTGATGGTTCAACTGCTGGGGGAGGAACCCTGTGTGGAGCTAGCAGATGAGCAGCGAGCAGATAGGGAGAGCTGCACGCTTAGCAACCCCAGGAGTTGGAGTGAAGAGAGGCCAGCAGGGCAGGCAAAGGGCCAAGGAACCGGGCGGCAGCCAGAGCCAGGAGGCCTTGGCCTTGTCTGGGAGCCGCAGCTTTGTCCCAGGGATGTCAAGGAACCATGAAGCTTGGGGGAGGCCATGGCCTGCAGGTGCCGTCTGCCTTCGGAAGCAGATCTGGCTGAAGGTGGGGAAGGGTCCAGAGCTTTGCAGCAGAGAACCTGAGAGCCGTGGGGCTCTAGCCCTGCTGCCGTGGCATACAGCATGCTAAGCCACTGCTTGCCGTGCAGGCAGCCCACTTCAGAGTCTTGCAGGCTCCACTTTTTTTTTTTTTGCCCTCGGGAAATGGGAAGTCCTATTTTTATCTCCTGGCCTTTAGTCATTCCACAGGATCCCGCCCTGCAGCGCTGTCCCACCTGTTGCTGCCCACCCCACCCAGTGAACCAGCCCAAGTGAAGGCTAATTGCAGGGAGGGGCACAGCCTGGGGCCAAGTATTTCTTTTTTTTTTTTTGCTTATTCATTTATTTTGCTTATTTGAAAGAGCAAGAGAATCCAGGGTGTGCATTTTTAATCATCCATCTGATTCACTGCACCTCACGGCCCCAGGGTCCAGCCTGAGCTGGGCCAAAGGCAAGAGCCAGAGTCCTGGCAGGGACCCAAGAGTTTGGGGCATCCTTCACGACCTTCCCGGCACCTTAGCAAACAGGTGGGTCAGAAGTGGGAGCCAACAAGACACCTTTACAATCCAGGGCTCCTGTCCACTTTCCAGGCACTTCAGACCAAACATCACCTCTACCTTAATTAATGAGATTGTATTTGAAAGGCAGGGAGACAAACAGGGTGAGAAATCTTCCATCCACTGGTTCATGCCCTAAAGTGACTGCAAAATCCCAGGCTGGGTCAGGCTGAGGCCAGCAGCCAGGAGCTCTTCCGGGTCTCCCACGCAGGGGCAGGGTCCCAAGGCTTTGGGCCGTCCCTGACTGCTTTCCCAGGTCACAAGCAGGGAGCTGGATGGGAAGTGGAGCAGCCAGGACAGCAGCTGGTGCCCATATGGGATCCCAAGACATGCAGGGGGAGGATTTAGCATCGGACCCTTCCTGGGTCCATTTCCCACCTTGGTCCAGCCAGTGTCCTCACTGGGATGAAGAGCCAGCCCAAGCTGACTCTAGACCTTGCCCCGCCTTCCAGGTTCCCATGGGGTCAGGACACAAAGCCCTCCCTGGGACCCACAATCCCACGCCCCATGCAGTCATTCCCACATCAGGGCCTAGGCACCTGGAGTAGGCAGGCAAGTGCCACAGATAGCTGGGAAGGGAACTTCCGGGCTTGGGCTCAGCAAGATTCTGGCTGCACTGCTCTTAGGGGCCAAGGGACCCAAGGTCAGGGTCTCAGGAGCGGAGCCCAGGATGCCCAGGGAGGCCGCCTGTGCCAACCCTGCCTAGGCTCTGTCTCAATTCAGCTCCACTGGCCCAGTCTGAACCACCCCCCTTCCCAGTAAGCCCACTCCACACATCCTATCCCCCACCCCGCCCCCCGGTTTCCAAGGCTCCTTCCCGACTGGGACTGGGAGTTCTAGAAGGCACATTCACCCAGCGCCTCCCTGGGTTGCAGGGATCTGGGGGCAGAAGCTGCCGACCCGCCTAGGAAAAAGGGGCGTCGGGCGCTCAGCCCCGCCGCCTCGTGTTTTCAGGCCTGGGCGCTCAGGGCGAGCTGGTGGGCAAAATCCCAAGCCCGAGAAGGTCCCTGAGTGTCCACACCCTAGGTGGCTCTTCATGCCAGGCCTTGTCGGGGTCCCCAGGGTTGACGGGTGACCTCATCGTCTTCGCCTGTCCTCCACTGCGACTCCAACGAATGGTCCTAGGGGAGCTGCAGAGCACAAGCCAAGAATGCCCACGCCGCCTCCTGGAGAACGCGTAATCACCCGGAAGACAAGGCTGTGCCCTACACCCCGACTCACACACAAACCCCCAAATCACTTCGCGGCCAGGCGCGGCGCCTTTAAGACGAGGTGGTGGCGGCGGTGCTGCCCCCTGGCGGTGCCTCCGCTGCCCGGCCGGCTACCGGGGTCCCGGCCGGTGCGCCGTGTGCGCAGGCGGGCGGGCGGGCTGCGCGCGAGGCCGGGGCCTAGCGGGGCGCGCGGCGGGCCCCCGTGCACCCCGTACCCCGGGCCCGAGCGCGTCCGGGGGCACGCCGCGGGGGCGGACGGGCGGGCTGCGCGCGAGGCCGGGGCCTAGCGGGGCGCGCGGCGGGCTCCCCCGCACCCCGTACCCCGGGCCCGAGCGCGTCCGGGGGCACGCCGCGGGGGCGGGCGGGGCAGCGCGGTGGGCCGCGGCCCAGGGCGCGGCGAGGCCTGGGGCGCCCCGCGCTGAGCGCCGCCCCCGGGGCCGGCCGCCCGCCGCGCCCCGCCCCGGCCCGCCCCTCCCGGCAGGACTGCGCGCCCCGAGCGCGTTCCGCGTCCCCGCCGCCGCCGCCGCCGCCGCCGCCGGGAGGAGGTTCCCGCACGCTCCGGCGCGCGCCGCCCGCCAGCCCTCGGCCTGTGGGGCGATTTCCTCCGGCCCAAGGTTCCGTCCGCGCCCGGGGAAGATGCAGACCTTTCTGAAAGGGAAACGGGTGGGCTACTGGCTGAGCGAGAAGAAAATCAAGAAGCTCAATTTCCAGGCCTTCGCCGAGCTCTGCAGGTGAGGAGGGACGCGCGGCTCCGGCTGCCGGGGTCCTCCCAGTCCCGGCCCGAGTCCGGCGCAGCCCCGCAGCGCCGGCTGGGGAGGCTGGGGCGAAACGGGAAGAAGGGGGTACGCGGAGCGGGGGTGTAGGGGAACGGGATCCGGGCGCCTGCGCCAGGGGTGGGGTGGGGGCGCCGTGGCCAGTGCGGGCGATGTGGCATGGACCGGGACGCTCAGGTGTACCAGGGATCCCGGCCGGGGACGGCCCCTCTCCCAACTGCCCAGGACGCAGCGGGGAGGTGGGGAGGTGGGGAGGTGGGGAGGTGGGGAGGGCCCTGGGGAAACGGGGGAGTTCCCTGGCTGTCCCGCGAGGGCCGGAACGGGAGTGGGGGCCGCCTTGGAGCCCCCTGCCCTTTAGCACAGGTGTGCACCAGCGTGTGTGGACCGCTGACTATGGGCCCCGCGTGGGCACCTCTCCGGGACCTGTCAGTGCCATCCCCGCCGTGAACCCAGCTGGAGCGAGTAGCAGGACATGGCATGTCCGTGGTGATTTGCTGTCTCATTAGCGCCTCACAGCAGCCTTGCAGATCAGCCAGGGTGGCGACTGTGGGCCACGTGTCTGAGAAGGGGCACCCACCCGCAGAGGGGTGGGTGCTTGAGCTAGGGAGGGGGGTGGAATCCCACAGGCAGGGAGTGGCAGGGGCCCAGCAGCTGCTGGGGACTTGCCTGTGGCAGCCCCAGCTCTGCACGGGGCTGGTCCCGTGCTCCAGCGTGCTGGGCTGTGTGTGATCGAACCATCACGTTCTTCGTCCATCGCAGGAGCGTATGGACTTGGGTCGGGTTTGCCTTGCCTGGCCAAACAGCTGGGATTCTGCCTGTCCAAGAAGCTGTGTCGGTTGAATGGTGGGCTCCGCGAAGGTTCTGGGGGCATCCGGCTCCCAAAACCTTCCTCCCTCAAACTCCGGGTGCTCTGGGTGGGGACCTTTTGTTAAAGCTGATTTTTGCAAATCTGCCCCACTTGCCTTTTTTGTCCCTGGGCGTGTTGAGAGCAGAACAGAACTGCCGGCTTTCCTTAGGCCCTGAGGCCTGGGTGGGCGTGAGGCAGGACTAAGTGGCTCTGTGGATGGTCAGGCACCTCTGTACCCCTGGTGGCCCTCCTGTCCCCCGTGTTCTGTGAAGGCCCCCAGCCGCAGGGAATAGGGCTTGTGTGAAAGCTCCCGCTCTGCAGCTGGAGCCGGAGGTAGCCACCTTCTCCCAGGCTGGCTTCTGTGGTGTGTGCGGAGCAGTCCTGGGAGTTCACGAGGAAGCCAGTAGGAATGCACAGCAGAGCTTTGCAAACAGGTCCACTTGCACACGGTCCTTGCAGAGACCCCGTGTGTGGCCAGGGACGCCTTGGTGGCTGAAGGCATTGGAAGAAGGACGCCCTTCTGCTGCTTCTGGAAACCCAGCTCAGATGGGAGGCCCCAGGGCTCTCCCTGCAGTTGGATTAGGCTTTGGGAGCCCCAGGAAGCACCTTGTTCCCTGGGTGCTGATGGCAGCCGGCATCTGTGTGTTCAGTTAGAGCTCCCGGCTTGCCGCTAGGTTGGGGTGAACTCAGCAACCAGGAGGCTGCAGCAGAGCAGCCTGGGCAGGGACTCAGGGCCAAGTCCTGTGGGACTGGCTGCCTGCTTGCCCTTCACGGGACCACCCCTCTCTTTAATAGGGTGGAGAGTTTTGGGGCAGACACTGGCGTCATCTGGCCTGGAGGCCGCCGACAGTGGGGTGTGTTCATTTACCTGAAAGGGATTTTGTGTCCAGAGCTTTGTTGCCTGCCTTTGTCCAGAGTATTCATTTCTAGGAGGAGGCTGAGAACATCTGGGCTACCCCGGGACCCCACAAGCTCACCCCGTGTTTCCCTGGAGGAAGCTCTAGATGTTTTGTCAATCCAGCTGAAGAAGGAAAAGAAAACACCAAAAAGAGTTCTGTTTCTTCTTTATGACTTTCAGGGCACTGCCCCCTGGCGGCCACATTTCCCTGCTGGCCGCAGGATGACCCGAGCCTCGGCCCTGGGCCCCAGCCGGGATCTGGTCTGGCCTCAGAGATGCTGTCTTGTTGCTGGTGGTTTCAGCCCAGGCGTGCCGCGCTCCTGTGTTGCAGGATGATGAACTATCTGTGAATCCCCTGGAGACAAAGTCCAAACACGTGTGAGCGCCACGGGGCCGTGCTCCGGCGCCACGGGTGACCTGGAAGGCCCGGGCTCGTTGTTTAGTGGCGTGTCAGGCCTCGCAGGAATCCCGTCTCCACGCAGGCCAGGACACTGAGTGTTATAGATGGGGGCGGGTACCAGTGGGCAGGCTCCAAGCTTTCTCCTTGGGCTTCTCTGTGTGGTGAGAGGGGCAGTTTCTTGGCAAGGCCAATGCGGGCCCTCTTATCCCTGGGGGCAGTGCATCCATGGCACCCATGGGTGGTGGCAGCCATGACCTGGGCAGCACCCTCTCTGCCTTTGGGGATTGCCCTTTCTCTGGCCAGCCCTGGCGGGATGGGCCCAGCCGACAGGTGGTGTTGCGTGGTCCTCCAGCTGTGGTCGCCGCTCTGCAGGGCTGCCTCCAGCCCTGCCCTCGCCTGTGAGCCACCTGGCAAAGGCCTGCAAGCCGCTTCAGAGGTGGAGAAATGAAGCTGTTTGCTGGAAACAGTGGGTGATTTTTCAGCATTTTTTTCCTAAGATGTATTTATTTTTATTGGAATGGCAGAATTACAGACAGTTGAGAGATATTTCCTATCGGCTGGTTCATTCCCCAAATGGCTGCAATGGCCAGAACTGAACCAATCTGAAGCCAAGGAGACAGGAGCTAGGACCTTCCTCCAGGTCTCCCACATGGGTCCCAAGGACTTGAGCCATCCTCTGCTGCTTTCCCAGGTCGTAAGCAGGGAGGTAGATGAAGAATGGAATAGCAGGGACTTGCTTGATGCCCATATGGAATGCTGGAGCTTAGGGGACTTAGCCTCCTATGCCACGGTGCTGGCCTGCTGGCCGTCACTTGTTTTCTGAGCTTTTCCTCCTGCTCTGCTGAACTGCTGGCTAGCCTGGGTTCCCTTCTCTCACACTGTCCGCAACTCTGCTCCTCCCCTCCCCTCCTCCCCTCCCTCCGCCCTGCCCCTGTATCCTCTCTGCCCCTCTCAACCTCCTCTCCTCCCCTACCCCCTTTTCTTCCCTCCTCCTCCCCTCACCCCTTCTTCTCTCTTTCCCTCCCCTCCCCTCTCCACTGTTCCTGCAGCTGCACTTGGTGTTGTGGGAGGCAGTGACTGATGCGTATGGCTTCCTAGGGCTGTGCACTGTCGGTGTTTTTACTATAACCTGTGCTGGTTAATGCTCCCAGCAGCCAAGGATGGTGCATGGGGAAACGGGCTTGCTGGAGGGCTCAGTGAGGGTTTCACCCTTAAGAACCCTGGGGGCCGGCTGGACCAGCCCAACTTGCAGGGTGCGAGCTCTGGCTGCCGGACCAGGCTGTTGGTGCCTTTTTCCCCTGGTTCCAGGAGGGGTCTCTGGGATCACATCTACCAGGTACTTTCCAGGGCCTGGGTAGCAGGCGGGGGCATGGGTGGGGAGCTTGGGGTCAGCTGTTACCAGCCCTGGAGGCAGCTAGGGCGAGTGGAGGTGCACTCACCCTTGCCCTAGAGAGGGCCAATTTGGAGGCCCCCTCTGCCAGGACGATTTGGTTTTCCCGGCCTGAGATTCTATCAGGAGGTGTATATATGTGTGTGGGAGGTGCCCTTTGCAGCTCGAAGGACATCTCTGTAGGTATGGTTGCCTGCATGTGCCCCCATCTCAGCCTGCGGAGGTGGAGCAGGCCTCCATGATGTCCTCCCAGGTGACAGGTGCACAGTGGGGCATCCACAGCCTAACCCTGCCACTCACGCTGCAGCACCTGTTGGGAAGCTGATGTGGGCCTGGGGCTCAGGAGCAGTTGCATACGCCTGCTGTCCCACCTGGCTGCTCTGTGTGAGCCGCTCGTCTATACTGCAAGGGGAACAGTGGAGCACAGCTGGCTGCTGAGAGCATCCCTGAGTGGACATGCGCCCTTGTGGTCCAGGGGTGAGCACACTTGCTGATGTATCGTTGGCTTTGGAGCAGTTTGGGATTGGCCTTGCCCCATCAGTCATCAGCATCCTTGGGACCTGACACTCGTGTCAGTGGGGGCAGTTGGTGGGGGCCTGCTCTGCCTAGTTTTGGCCCACGTCATACCATCCACTGTGGGAGGCAGGGGTGCCGTCCTTACCTGTTTCCTTGCGGGGAAGCTGTGGGGACGTTGCATGTGGGTGAGGGGATGTTTCCATTCCCTTTCGGTTTGGAGATTGGTGAGGGCAGCTGTAGCATTTCCTCAAAGTGCCAGGATCCTGTGTTCACCCCGTGATGGGTGCTGCGATTGGCTGACATTGGTTGTTTTCAGTTTCGTTTTGGATGTTTCACACCTGTGGATGTGGAACTGGACTTCAGAGGCCATCGTGCAAAGTCGGCCGTTTCCGTGTCATCGTGAGTCCCAGCCGCTGTGGGGCAGCAGGCGTCTCCGTGGGCGCCTGCATGCCCCGGGCATGGGCAGGTGCAGGGCTGTCCCTGCACCCACTGCTGTGCTCCACCCATGGCCAGCAGGAGTGTCTGTGAGGAATTCTATGCGGCTGCTTCTCATGGAAAGTCTTTTTTTTTAAAAGATTTATTGGAAAGGCAGTTACAGAAAGAGAGCGAGGGAGAAGCAGAGATGCAGACTTTCCGTCCACTGGTTCATTCCTCCCAAATGGCCTTCGTGGCCTGGGTTGGGCCAGACGCAAGCCAGGAACCAGGAGGTTCTTCCCCATCTCCCAGAGGCTGACAGGGCCCCAAGCACTTGAACCATTTCTGCTACTTTCCCAGGTGCATTAGCAAGGAACTGGATCAGAAATGGAGCAGCCAGGACATGACCAGCTCCCATGCAGGATGCTGGCACCGCAGGTGGCAGCTTTACCTGCTGAGCCTCATCGCCAGCCCCCTGTGTTTCCTGTCTCAG